CTGCAGCCCCGCGAGGGAGCAGCTAAGGGCAGGAGCCTGAGCGGGTGCTGACAGGGGCCTGAGGTGTGATGGGCAGAGCTTCTGGTCGCCCTTCACTGCAGCGCCCCAGGGAGGAGCACCTGGGAAGAGCATATGTTGTTTTTAAAAAATATGTTTTTACTGATTTCAGAGAGGAAGGGTAGGGAGAGGGATAGAAACATCGATGATGAGAGAGAAGCATCAGTCGGCTGCCTCCTGCACACCCCCTACTGGGGACTGAGCCCGCAATCAGCCATGTGCCCTGACCCGGAATCGAACCGTGACCTCTTGGTTCCTGGGTTGAGACTCAACCACTGAGCCACACTGGCCAGGCACATATGTCCTTTTTAAGCAGTTGTACTGAGAGTCACATACTTGACACTTTGCCCCCTTAAAGTGTATAATTCGATGGTTTTATTCACAGAATGGAGCCTCCACCAGCACAGCCCACTTTAGAACATTTTCATTGGACCCTCAAGGGACCTGCTCCCCTTTTCTATACCCCCCAAACTTGCAACCTCCCTACTCCCTGAGCAATCACTAATCTACTTTCTGTCTCTGAATTTGCCTATTCTGGGCTTTCCTTCACCATGGTGCAGTCGGAGACTGAAATATAAAAGGAATTATACTAGTATCATACAGGTCTTTTGAACTGCTTCCTGCATTCAGCATGAGGTTTTTGTGGTCATAGGACTGAAATTGCTGGCTCATATGGTAACTCCATGTTTAACTCTTTGAGGGGCTGCCAGATTATTTTCCAGTTTCTCTGATCCTTGCTACTCATAGTTGTTATTTGCCTTTTTTAGATAGCATCACCACGTGGGCGTGAAGTGGTATCTCCTTGTGGTTTTGAGTTGCATTTTCTTAATAGCTACGGATGTTGAGCATCTTTTCATGTGCTTTTTGGCCATTTGCATATCTTCTCTGGAGAAATGTCTATTCAGATGCTTTTTTAAAAGAGTTGGTACAATTCACCAGTGAAGCCATCTGGTCCTGGCTTATTTATGGAAACTCTAGATAACTAATTCAGTCTCCTGTTATATGTCTATGCAGATTGTCTGTTTATTCTTGACTCCATTTGGGCAGTTGGTCTTTCTAGGAGTTTTTCCATTTCATCTAAGTGAGCTATTATGCTGTCAGGCAGATGTTCATAGTATTCCCTCATCATTTTATTTCTGTAAGGTTAAAAGTAATGTGGGGAAGTTTCAAGTTCCTACCTCAAAAGCACACTGTGGCCTGGCCAATGGGGCTCAATGGTTGAGCATCAACCCAAACCAGGAAGTCAGGGTTTGATTCCTGGTCAGGGCACATGTCTGGATTGCGAACTCGATCCCCGGTGTGGGGCCTGCGGGAGGCAGCCAACCAATGATTCTCTCTCAGCATGGATGTTGCTATCCCTCTCTCCCTCTCTCTGAAATCAATAAAAATATATTTTTTAAAAAGCACACTAGTGTGTTTGAAGTCTTATACCTTATTGAAAACAGAAAAAGTCCTATGACTGTATCTAATTTAACATACAATGTTGACATTATTTACCACTGAGTAAAAATGGAGAACCAGGGAAAGTTCCCTGAATTGATCGTGTGTTTTCACTCTCCTACCCGCCAAGCAAGGGCAGCCCAGCTGAGATGAGCATGACCAGATCAGTTCTCCTCCGGGAGGGTTCCCACCCTTTCCCAGGACAGCCCATCTGTCCCTGACTACGCTGAGGGCCTCCATGGGGTTTCCAGGATCCACAAGAGCCCACAAACTGGAGAACAGGGCCAGGGGGTTAACACATCTCACTGTGCAGGCGGATCAACCCACAAAGCACTCCTGTGCTCTCAGAACAGGGAAGGAGGCGGGAGAGAAGACTGCCTTGGTGTGTGTGTGTGTGTGTGTGTGTGTGTGTGTGTGTGTGTTCTCTGGTGTAGGTGGCAGGGCAGGGACACCTCTGACAGTGGTCTCCTTTTATCTCGGAAATACCAGCCACAAAAACTAAATAGCCAAGGCAAGGTCTTTTTTCCCCAAACGAACACCAGGGAAGAATATTTTTAACAAAGCAGTGTTCCAGATTACGTACTTTAAAGCGAGCCCTGTTTCTTTCAACTTCAGCAAACAGGATCACCCCCATTCAGATGTTCGCTGCTATAAAAATAAAATAAAAGCTCAGAATTTAACTGCATTCTAAAAATAAGCAAGTGTTCTTCAGCACGTACAGTAAGCACACTGGCATGCCCGTGAACCTGAGATGGAAATGATATTTTAATGGCTACATTAACTGTAACATTCCGCCAACCCTTAACAATTAATGACTTGCATTAATGATTAGTTAATCACTCAGCTTAGTTCCTAGGAAAGATGATCATTATCAACTCGTGTGTTATATTCATCATCATCATAAATATTCCCTTTCCCCTCTTTGTTTTTCTTAGAAAAACTGTTCCTAAAAGCCACCTGCTACCTAGTGGTTCGCACGTTTGGACCAGATATCATAAAACTGTGAGTACGCCGGCACGTTGACCCCACTTCTCTCTGGACGGGGGGGAGCAGAAACACTGGGAGGAGCCGCTACTGAGCAAGGCCTGGAGCTGCAGCCTTCCAGTTCTTGCCAGTAGTGAATGGGCGAGCCAGATGGGCACAGGGTCGGAGAGGGGACAGGCAGACCCTGTTCCAGGTATGCAGGTGGGGGCTGTGTAAGTGCCCATCTCCCACAACTACAAGTGCACGCAGGTGCTAAGAAAGAATAGGCCCAGCAAGCCACCAACAGAGGGTCACTTCCAGGAGGTGGTGGGAAGGGGAGGAAATGGTTTGGAGATGATTCAAGGTCGTGAGATGACTAATTCTCCATGTATGGCGGGGGGGGGGGGGGGGCGCACTTTGAAGAAGATGATGCAATAAATGATTCCCCCTTGGGTGTCATACTTGTTAGAAACCCCATTTTTCATTTTTCTTCTAAAAAATTTAGTCGTTGAGGCCTCTCCTGATCTCGGAGGGCTCCTAGGTTCGGAATACAAAATGTCATGATTTAGTGGGAAGTATAAATAGATACCAAGAAGGGAGGTAAGACAAATGGAAGACCGGGATCAGGTTTGCTATGACAACCTGTGTCACATGGAGGTCAAGACCAGGCCTAGGAGGACCCAACATGAGGTCACTGGCTGGGATTGCTGCTCTTAGAAGGAGCCCTCCCTGCATGACCCAGGTTCTTGGGGGAATAAACCTGAACACTCAGGCGACCCACTCCTAACAACATCCTATGACTCGCCTGTGGGTAGGACATGTAATTGCTGGATAATAGTCCATTAATCTCTGAGAATTGACTGGTATGAAATAATGAAGAGGCATGATGCCTTCTGGGTTAGGAACCACATTTAATATCGGAACCTGAAATTCAGGTAAAACTAAATCATGAGGTTGTCAGTGTCAGGGCCCACCTCACCCCAGAACTGCAGCTGGTTGATTAAAATGAGCTGTCAGAGGAGCGCACCATGAGAGGAGAAACTCCCATCAGCAAGCAACTAATATGGGTACCGGGGAAAAAACAACTATCTTCTAGAATCTATAACTGTCCTTCCAAGATTAGCCTTTGGATAGTACCAAGCTGTTTCTGGTTTCTTTGTTTCTGTGGCTTTGGTGTGGTGTGGTTTGGGTTGGGCTTGAGTGAATAATTTACTTAGAAAAGTTACTCAAAGTCCACGCTTTCCTGTCCCTTCATTTGAAGCAGCACATGGTGCTCATTCTTCTTGGTAAGAAGACGTAGAAAATGGCTATGGAAGGTTTGTTTTAGACATAAACCAAAATATTTGAAGAATACAAGAATACAATTCTTACCCCATCCCCAGGGGGAAAAGTCAACCTGGCTGTATTTTCTTCCATAAAGTAAAGAAATATTTACACTAAAGGGAAGCAATGATTTGGATTATGCCTAAGAAAATAATTTTAGGAGTTTAAGGCTATATCATAAATGATTTTCATAAATGATTTTTTTTGCTATAATCCCTAGGAAACTTTAAAATAGCGTTTCCATCAAATTACACCCCTGTCCATCTTTCCTTTCCCAATTTTATTTGTGGCTTCTGCCTAAAAGAATATCATGCTCTGGTGAAGCTGTCACAGAGCTCAGGGCTGCTCACACCCCCTCTCCGCCCCCAGGACCTCATTCTAAATTGAGGCGAGAGCAGCGGGGAGGGGGCAGGAAATCGCTGTGAGCCAGCACACCCAGGACGGACTTCAGGCCATGCTGCCCTGCATGGAGGCCCATAGAATCCATTCTGGGATTTTGCTTTCTTTGAAATAGATTCTGCTTTCTAATGCCTGAGAGATCTTAATCGTCTTTGTTTGGCCCATCTCCCTGCAGGCTCAGTGCTGATATGAATGCTGATGTCGTGTGTCACACACTAGAGTTCTGTCACCAGGGCCCGGGCCAGGCACTGTGTCATCTCTACCCACTTCCCAAGGTGAGTGAGTGGCTTTCACTTAGATGTCAGGTGGCAGTGACATGCATGCCCTTTGGATGTGTAAAGGCAAGCTCAGCTGTACTCACTCCGCGATTTGGGGACAGAAAGAGGCAAGATGACATTTTCAATTACATGTGAAAGAATATTCTCAAGTTCCAAAAAAATGTCTTCCCTGTTGAGCTATTATGCGGGGCTGGCAGCTGGTAGGAAATCAGACCAGCTGGGGACAGAAGAGGTTTAAACCCCTCTCTTGATATGTACTTGCTTAAATATCAAGCAAGTCACTTTTAGAAGGTGACCAACTCACCCCAATTTGCCCAGGTCTTTCCTGGTACAAGCAATGCAATTCCCACAACTGGGGAAATGTGGGCAATTGGTCACCCTAGTCTGACCTTTATTGTTCTCCTCCATCAAATGGGTATAATGAAATAACCCAAATCCCTCCTTCAAGATTAATTATGGGAAGTAGATGAGCTAAGACATTTAAAATGCTTAGCACAATGCCTACCACATTTTTTAAAAAGTGTTAATAAAAATGGTGGCTACTATAATTATTATCAATATCATTATTATTCAGAGATAGTTGTTTGCAATACCCTGCGTGTATTACATGAGGCTGGATAGTCTGTAATTAGAATGCAGGCTGTGGAAGGCTGCAGTGTTGACACAATGTCCTTCCCAGACTCTGAGTGACAGTATGATATTAAATCCAGTTAGGCCTCACACTGGTGACTTTCAGAAGCTTCCTGTAAAAATAAAAGACAAAATAAAATTCTATGCCTCCTTTCCCAGAATTGTAGCTTTTCCGTATATAACCCAGCAGGCTGCTGTTCTATTTGTAATGCCCTTTATATTCTTGGAATGAAGTCTATTTATCACCCTGGGGCCTAACCAATGAACATGATTTTGCTGACTGACAATTGTAAGTAATGAAGAAAGAGATACAGATGCCTGGGGTGTGTGTGCATGCATGTCATGCTTCCTCGATCATTGACTACAGTGCCCGTACAGTGTCCCCTTATTCCACCCGAGAAACTGTGGGCTCCACTGGTTTCTAGAAGAGATAGTTCATTTTAAATTTAAAAAACCCAGCTTTTCATGTGTTTAAGTAGCATGTGAGGACTGATAGCAATGCTTGCGTTTTGATAACATTGGAAACATGTATGCACCAAGACACGTGGCATGGGGTCTGTGATTTCCTTAAAGAACATTGTGTTGTGTATACATCACACCCACAGCTATACACAGTCACAAAATGTTCAACTTTTTAAAAAATGTATTTTTATATTCTATGCTGTTTATACTCGAAATCTCGTTTTCATGGCACACAAACTACACCTACACAACAGGTATGCACTAGTAGGTAGAGTTACCTGCTAGGAAAGGTGGGTAAAATCGTAGGTGGAAATCACCCCCTGCCTGCCCGAAGCCTTCCTCATGACCCTCCCAGTCAAAACCCATCCCTGTGTAGCCGCTACTCTGTAATCTGTCACCCCAGGCGAGTGCATTAGGCACAATTCCATCTTGAACTTCACACAGAGGAGTGCTTTTAGACACAGTTCCATCTTGAACTTCACATAAATGGAATCACACAGTTTGTTGTCCTTGGTGTCTGGCTTCTGTTGTCTGTGAAATTCATCTGTGTTTTGCAGGCAACAGTCTTGTTGCAGTAAGTATTCACACAGTCATCTCTTTTTTTTTGGAGGTGTGAACTATATATTAAATTGACATTTTCTAATTAAATGGATTGGGGTGACATTGGTTAATAAGATTATGTAGGTTTCAAGTGTATGTTTCTATGACACTTGGTCTGAATTCCTCACTGTGTGCCCACCACCCAAAGTCAACGTCAACTGTAGCGAGGGGCCTGCTGCCTCGGGAAAGCAGCCCAGCCTTTGGAAGGGTTTCCCCACCATGAACCGATCTCTGCAGGAGCCAGAAGCAGCCAACATTGAGTGGGCAGGAGCTGTGCACACACAGGGAATCCACGTTTCCTTGATCCAGGGCCCAGGAAGCTGCAGACATAGGTTTGGAAAGGAGTGAGTTTGTGTGTGACAAAGTGGCGTAGGACAAATTTCTTGTTCAACTGAGAAATCAACAAGCTGACATCAGGAATTTCTCAAACATAGTTTGCAGTTGAGGCTGAAGGTCTTGACCCAGGTCCAAGACCTGCTAAGGAAACCTGAACTCAGCCCAGGCTCTGGACATGAGCCCTCCGGCTCTGCCCATCAGCACCAGGGGGGGATTGTGGCACACGTTTGAGTGGCTGGTCTGTGTCAGAGGGAAGTGAAGGCAGTGTGGGTGTCAGTGTTAGTGAACTATTCTGAAGAACTGAATCTCCAAAAATCTTGCACACGTGCCCCCACTTTCTCATCACCAGTTAGACCAGAGCCATTCACTCTCTCATCCATTATACTCAGCATGTTTCTTCAGCGTGCACAGATTCTCTTTTAACCATCACAAGTATGCAAGACAGACATGGTCCCCCCACCTCATAGATAAGTCTACTGAGCCCCGGAGAATTGCAAGGCTCACCTGATATACATTTATTAAGTTCTTATTATATGACTAGAGGCCGGTGCATGAAATTCATGCACAGCCACACAGTCTGCTATTCAGTCATTTGATCATCCCTCGCTAACCCTCCTGCCAGCCTGGTTGCCCCACGCAGCCTGCTGTTCAGTCGTTTGATCGTCCTTCACTAACCCCCCTGCCGGTCTTGTTGCTCAAGGCAGCCTTCTGGTCATTACTGTTACTGTGATAGTGTCCCAGACAATTTGAATATTCCTCTATTATTAGATACATAGGTACACACTAGAGGCTGGGAAATAGAAGACAGTGACAATTGCAATTTGGGTGGCTACGTGTTAGGAACTCAGTTCCTTCATACTTCTTCACTATGCCAACTGTCAGGTCTGAGACCCTCTGCCAGGGGCTGGACCTTCTTGAACACTGGGTGATAGACAGAGAAGCCATGAGAAGTTGTGAGTGTATAAGAGAATCTTTATTATAGGAGCCAGTGGCCAAGTAGCCATCTATATCTATAAAAACTGTGTCCCTGAGGAGTTCGACCAACCAGGAGTTCGATAGCTCACTATGACATGCGCTGACCATCAGGGGGCGGTGCAGAATGAAGGGAGGCCCTGGCTGGCAGCCAGCAGCCGCTAGGGATCCTACCAGTGCACGAATTTCATACACTGGGCCTCTAGTTACTAATAAGGAGCCACTATACAAAGCAGTTCTTCAAAGCAAAGTCCCATAAAGCAGGTAGCTGCACACCAGCCAGGTAACAATGCATCTTTCAGCCTCTGTACCCCCAGCCATTATCTGAGCAGCCTGCCTTATATAGGAGCTATTTATAGAAGTCATCCTCAGAGCCACAGCCTCACCAAGCAGCCTCACGCTGGTCAGTGATGCATCTACCCTATTAGTGCAGCCCCATACTGGCTATTCAGTAACAACTTTATACAAACTCAGACAAAAGAGGTTTTATGCCAAATACTGACCTCAGTCTTTTTGGTTATAGAAGGGCACGCTTGCACAGTGCATAGATTGTTTGTCCCTGCATCTGCGTATAGCATCTTAGCCTTGAACATTCTGATTAAGATTCCCATGCTCAGAGTGGCCTTGAGCATCCGGTGTACTCTGAATAGGGTCCCCACACTATGACAGACCCAAAGCCAGACTAACTACCTGCCATCTAAAATCCTCCCACATCATTGTAAGGTTACCCCATTATCCCACTGATTCAAAACTCTGGGCAAGTGGGTGGAGCTGTGGACTTTGTGCTGCAATGTAGGATTTTTGGAGAACCACCTATGTCAGTATTCCCAGTGTTCCTATGTCTCTCTTGACCTACACAGATTCACTAAGAACTCTAAGTGCTCAAAAGAGTGCCCCACCCCTGCCACCACTGCCAGTCGGGGCCTGCGGGCTAGGGGCAGCTCCTGCATTGAACATCTTCCCCCCTAGTGGTCAGTGTGTGTCTTAGTGACTAGTCAATCCGCCAGTCATTCTGCTGTTCAGTCAATTTGCATATTAGGGTTTTATATAGATAGATAGAGTTTCAAAGCAGCGGTAAAACCCTGGCTTATTTGATAAATGATGGAACAAAATACTATTTATCTGAACATGAAATTTAAGCTAGATAAGCCCTAAATGAATGAAAGGTTGACTCAGTCATAAAGAATGAAAGGCAGCTGACGAGTAAGCACCTGCCGTACCCAAAGTCAAAGGACAAGCGGCAGCTCTGGCCGTGGCTCAGGTGGCCGCATAGCTATAAACCTGTGGACACAACTCCCTTCCCTTTGCTTGGACTCCCACTGGGCTCATGCTTGGCTGAGGCCAAACCCTAGCAGGGCACCCCCTTTGCCCATGGAATGGGTGGCAATGTGTGCTGAGGCCTGTTCTGCTATCACCCATGCTTCTCAGAGCCCAGGACCGAGCACCATGCCCTCTGCAGGGCAAGAGCCACTGTCATCAAGCCCTTGTCCTTGCCTGGAGACCTCAGGCTGGCTCTGGTTTGGAGAAACACTGAAGTGATTCTAGAGCAATGGTTCTCAACCTTCCTAATGCCGTGACCCTTTCATACAGTTCCTCATGTGGTGGTGACCCCCAATTTCATTGTTACAAATTGAACATAATTAAAGCATAGTGATTAATCACAAAAACAATATGTAATTATATGTGTGTTTTCCGATGGTCTTAGGCGACCCCTGTGAAAGGGTCATTCAACCCCCAAAGGGGTTTGAGGCTGGAAGAAGGGCGCACTGTCATCAAAGGGAGAGAGCAATGAGAAGCTGAAGAGATTGACCATCACAGACCTCATGGTTGATGGGGAGTCTGCGTAGGCCTGGCTGAGTCGTAAGCATCATTATGGCTTCCAGCCCACAGGGTTTTCTGTCCTGCTCCCAGTCTCTTCCCAAACTTTCTCTTCAGCCTGTGATGGCAGTTGCACCCTCCGTTCTAAAGATTGAACTGTAAAGAAGGTGAAAGCATGACCCTCACGCTTTAGAAACGAGTGCTTAGGCACGAGATTGGCAACAGTGAAAGGTTACCAGGCAAGATCATTATCTTCCTTTTCACTCGAGTACCATTTGCCCCCTTTGCCTGCCATTAAGACAGGCAAACTAATTAGCTTTCCCAAGTGCTGCGGAGTCCTTTCCTCCTTTTCCTTCTGGGGAGAAAAGAGCACCCCTTTATCTAGACTCCCCTCTGCGTGTTGGTATCAGTGCACTTGCACCGCGAGAGAGGGTGGAGCCCTGGTCGGCCAGGTCCAGACCAGCCTGTCCTTGGCATTTCAGCCAGGACCATGGAGGCAGCGGCCAAACCCAGCAGACAGGGGGCCAGAGGCATGTGGGGCAGCCCTTGTCACTTTATGTCCAGCGGTTCTCAACCTGTGGGTCACGACCCCTTTGGGGGTCACTGGGGTCGCCTAAGACCATCTGAAAACACATATAGCATATCAGATATTTACATGATGATTCATAACAGTAGCAAAATTACAGTTATGAAGTAGCAATGAAAATAATGTTATGGTTGGGGGTCACCACAACATGAGGAACTGTATTAAAGGGTCGCAGCATTAGGAAGGTTGAGAACCACTGCTTTATGTCTCTTGTCTCTCATCCCTCACTGCACATTGAACCCCCGGAGGACTGAGCTGAGTTACAGTCACCCCGTCCTCTCAGGGGGATCCCAGTGCCCACGCCTAGGAAGGGGCTACCAAGGCCCCTCGGCTTCATCTCACTTCTGTTTCCTGCACATGTTCCCGTTTCGTCTGCCCGCCCGCCCGCCGGAGACTCTGTTAGGGCAGGTGTGTGCTCACCCCCTCCTCCAGGGCCCTCCCCGCATGCTGTGGCATTTGTGGGTTCTGTGGGTTCTGTGGAAAGCACTATTGCTGAATTTTTGCTCCTTATTGAAAATGTAGAAAACGCAGAAAGGAACCAACAGGAAAGAGCTATCCCCCACAATTATCGGGGCCTCTTTCTTTGCAGGGTTTCCTCTGTGTCTGTGAACGCTGGTGGCCTGTTTCCCGTGCTCGATAGAATGTCGTCAATGTCTCTCACTGTTTATTTCCCTCTGTATTGAGCCCCTGCCATGTAGCGAGGACCATGTGAGGCCCCGTGGGTCCTGAGCTGGGCCTTGGATTCAAAGGGGTTCCGAGCAGAGAGGCAGGGGCCCCGGCTTCACGGTTCATATTGAGGAGGATGAGCGTTAGGCTAACAAGGGCTGCGGAAAAGGGCCCGTCACAGAAATCTGCGCCTGGATCCAATGTCTGATCATGACCCTCCCCGAGCGACTGAGGGAGAGCCAGGCCAGGAGCACAGAGGCTTCCAACCTGTGAGAAGTGCTGAGTGGCAGTTACAAACAGTCCCAGGATGTGAAGTCCCGCGCAGGGAATATAATCAGTAACTTCGTAATAACTGCGGGCGGTGCCAGGTGGTCACTGGAAATGCCAGGGGGATCACTGTGTAAAGTCTTCTTGTCTAACCACTTTGCTGTATCCCTGAAACCAATACAAAATGATATTGAATGTCAACTGTCACTGAAAAGACATTTTAAAAGTATATCCGTTGTTGAGCAGGGGATTATCAGGGCAGGCCCGGGGCTGGGGGCTGAATGAGCGATGCCCTGTAACCTCGCAGCACCCTGGGAGGCAGGTCGCTGTAATCCCCCGGTTACATGTGATAAAAATGGGGCTTTCTCTCCCACTCAGGAATTCTGTGGATTCTGAAGGGCTCTGAGCAGAACTTGCTCAAGGACACACAGCCAGTGAGCAGCGGAGCTGGGGCTCGAACCCACCACCCAGGCTCCATTAGGGCCATACCAGGGGCAAACTGAGGAGAAAAGGGGCGGGGCCAGGACACACGGGGGCACAAAGGCTCTGGGAAGCAGTGCTGGGGGCAAGTACTCTCCACGCCACCCCCCCAACCCTACAGGTTGCTTTTCTCCCAACTCTCCCCAAATCCATAGGTATGAAATCCCATAGCAACGGTCACTGGATTAATCAGCTCACTTGATTCTTGCCGTGTAAACTCGAGATGTGCTCACGTCCCCAGAAATGGTTGAAAGGCTCAGGGAGGGGAAGGAGGTGTAGAGCAAGCATGTCAAACTCAAAGGCTAACACAGGCTAAATAAACAAGGTTTCAAGCATTTATGTGGGCCGCAAAAAAAACAAAAGCTTCAATTTTCATAGAAATGTAGGTTTATTTTGATAGAGACATGCTGAATAATAGGGCTGAAATAAATGAGTCATCGTCAATTAGTGTTCGTTGTTGGCTATGGGACAGGCACTGGGGTCGGCGGGGGCCGCCCCGCGCTGGGGCTTTCAGACATAAGGGCACCTGGGTCCTTGGGGAGATTGGGAGCCTCCCGGGCAGGAAGGCAGGGGTTCAGACTGAGTCTCCGCCAGACACTGGCTCTGTGCCCTTCAGCCAGTTCCTTAGCTTCCCTGCGTCTCCATTTCCTCGTCTGCGGAAAGGTCAGCTCCCTCGGAGCTGGTGGGAAGATTAAACAAGGACATGTTTGCAAAGGACTCTGCGTGGCGCCCACACAGAGGTCATCCCCTCCTCAAGATCGTTACCACCATGAACTCGCCTCCGTGTGAATCACATTATCACTAATTTATGGACTCATCTCTCTGTTTCCAATTCGCAGACTTGAAAACATTCTAACTTTAGAAAAGACGTAGAAAGAAGAGATAAGACGCAAGGGGTAATGTGTCTAACTTTGTTTTTCTAGGAGGCGTGGAAAGTCACCCTGGAGAAGGCAAGACAGATCGTCAAGAAACCCCCAACTCTGGTAAGCGGTCTTCGGGGAGAATGCCAGCCCCTCCCACACGCTGACCTCCCCCTGGCCCTGCTCTCACCCCACAGGCCAGTGACCCAACCACAGCACCACTCACATTTGGGGCAGATTAGCCCTTGGTCCTGGGCAATGTCTTGTGCACTGTAGGATGTTGGCTGCATCCCTGTCCTCCACCCACTAGTTGGCAGCATTGTTAACTACCCCTCCCCAGTCCTGATGACCAAAAATGTCTCCTGATGTCCCCAAGTGTCCTCTGAGCGCCCTTGATACCTGCTGCTCTGCAGTAGACCATTTTGGAGGCTGTGTATCCTCCCACTCCTCCCCTTTCTACATATGAGACTTGGGACTGAGCCTCAGTGTTCCTGTCAGTAAGATGGGGCAGTAACATGTTCCTGTCAGTGAGATGGGGCAGTAACATGTTCCTGTCAATGAGATGGGGCAGTAACATGTTCCTGTCTCGCAGTATGGATGTGAGGACTAGCGGAGTGGATGTGTGCAGAGCACGTGGTAGCAGGCCTGGGACTTACTGAGCTCTCCGTCAATGCCAGTAAAATCATCACATGATCCTGCTCCCTAATTTGCCCTGTTTGTAATAATACTTTGATTCAACAGATAGAATGTTTAGTTCAAACTAGTTCTCCTCAGTCCAGTGTTTGAGTTATGCTCTGGTTACAAACCAGCCCTAAAAAGGAAGCAAAAGAGTAGACCTTTAAAAATGTGTCTCTGGCCCTGGCTGGTTTTGCTCAGTGGATAGAGCATCTGCCTGTGGACTGAGGGTCCCAGATTCAATTCTGGTCAAGGGCACGTGCCTCGGTTACAGGTTCCCGGGCCTGGTTGGGGTGTGTGCAGGAGGCAACCAATCGATGTGTTTCTCTCACATCGATGTTTCTCTCTGTCCTTCCCTCTCCCTTCCACTCTCTCTAAAAATCAATGGAAAAATATTATTGGGTAAAGATGAACCAAAAGGAAAAAAAAATGTGTCTCCCTTGATGCTAGAGCCCTGGCAGGAGGAAGTGGCCATCGGGAAGATGAGGGCAGGGCCCGCCCCGCTCGCCAGGTCACCGCTCGCCCCAATGCACTACCAGGAAGGCAGTATTGACTTGGCAAGTGGAAAGTGAAGGGGAGGTTCCCAGAGCTCTCAGCTCGCCGGATCTGGCAGACACAAATAGAGGATGCCCGGTTCCATTTGAATTTCAGATAAGCGATGAAGAGTTTTGTAGTGCAAGTATGTCCAGGGCACTATCTTCGCTGGCAACATTACTTGTGGGGGCCATCTGGGTTTTGATGTCCAAGGTTAATACACATCTCATGGCAATACGCAGGCATTTCTACAGGATCTATTAGTCAGTCACCATGTCCGCATTGCCGATCATTATTTAATTCAGTGAATCACGGAAGTCCAATTGGAGCTACTTTAGCTCATCTGCTTAAGTCACTGAACAAGAAATTGAAACACGGCTTGAAGCCCTTGACCAGCACTTCTGCATTCCAAACAGAACTGAAGATGAGACAATTCTCCCTTTATCCTTCTCAGCACGCATCTGAAAACTTATTCTCAGGGCACGGTTTCCGCACTCGCACAAGCTGCCTTGCCATTAACTCAAGGGCTAATTAGGATTTCACAGTTTTCTATTTCCGTCATCAGAATTGCGAGCGTACTTCCTAGGGCCGGATTCCAATAATTCCTTGCATGAAGCCAGAAAACAGAAACCTACTGAACAATCCAACAATAATAGACTTCTCCAAAACCTCCTCCAATGTATTTACTCTCTAGATTAAAGCTCTCAGGGAAAAAAAATAATCAGAAAATGCAAATAAGCATTTTGGAAAAAATGCTCAGAGGGTATCGGCGGCAGTGAATTTCAGGGCGGCGCCAACAAAGTCATAGACCCAGCCAGGATGCTGCCTGCCGTTTCAGCGAGCCCATCAGACGCCAGAACCCAGGCTGGGGAAGTTCTGCGTCGTTGAAAGGGATGGAAGGTTCCAGAGAAGGTCCGTACCGCCGGGGAGGCCCAGAGAGGCCCTGGAGGCACTGCGCAGGGAGGGGGCAGACACCAGTGTGTGAGGTTTGGAGTACCTGAGTCGTGGAATCACTGAATCTAATTTTCACAAAAACACCTTCTGTAGTAGACAGCCTACCTTCGTGACCAACCCCGAAAGGTCAGACAGGTGAAGTGCTTGACTCACTCCACACAACTGGTGAGTGAGAAGCCCATCATTTAAATAGACTTACTTACTCCCCACTTCCTGCCCTTTGTACAATGTCAATGGCTCTCAACCAGCCCTCCTGGTACTACATTTCAGGAAGATTCACATCACAGGCTCTGAGATGTTAGGACTGTGCGGTGCACAGCCTGGGGCGGGGGAGGTGGGCTGTACCTGACACCCCTGATCCTACACCCACCCACTCAATGAAATCTCCTGGGAAGCCTTTAAACATGGCTGCTGTTCAAACTCCACCTCAGACTGTGTGAATCCAAGTAAAATCGTACACAAGAGTGGACCGGTTCTTCACCGAGCGGAAACTCCACGGCGGGCCGGCTGGGGACAGAGTGGCTCCTCTTGCCCTTTGACCTTCTATTTGTCCCATTCACCAGGGGTCCCCTCCATTCAACCCCTGTTTTTTCTGTTTTCATACAACATCCTGGAGTGGGGGAAACCCAGATGCAAGCAGAAGCTGGTGAAATGAATTGCAAAATGAAGGTGTGCCCAGGGACAGCCCCGATTTAAGACTGTCATTTAGGGGGGATTGCATGCTGCCAGACGAACGTTGTAAACTCATAGCTGAGCTGAGAACACATTTGGCCTCTGTCCAGCAAAGTTCAGATCGAAAGAGGGGCTGGCAAACCCGCCCTCGAGGCCTTCTGCAGTGTTGCTCTGTGTGCGTCTCAGTTCCTTTTGCAAGTAAATGAGAAGAGGCGAGTTGTTCCCACACTGTGTGATGAAAAGACGGCGCAGTCAGACTTCTGTCTGACCTAGAGTCCTGGGGCCTCTGGACAAGCTCCGTCATCTGTCGCCCACATCCCAGGCCCAGTTTCTGCACCAGGCCTGTCAGAGATCAACTCCGACAGTGGACAGCTGTGCAATTATAATTTTATTCTATCCTAGCTTTTGTGTGGCAATGTCCATATAAATTTGTTGGTGTATTGATTATTATCAATGTTAAAATCTACATGGCCATTGGGTTAGTTAGACCCAGGCCTTCAGACTAAAGCAATAGCTTAGATGTTCCAGTGCACCCTGACTTTGAATTTGGGTCTCAGAATGTGTCTAGATCGCCACACTGCCCACAGGGAGGTGGCGTCATCTCATGCTGGTGCTCATCCGCTTTACAGTGTGTCTCCAATCCTGGTCCCACTTGGTCCCAGGGGCTGAACCCAGCCTTCCAGTCCCCCTCCTTTCCCCACCCCCTCCTGCCGTCCATCAGTGGTTCCCCGCCAGCCCAGTGTTGTCCTCCAGAGGGGACATTTGGCAATGTGTCTGGGGACTTTTTTGGACTGCCAGCACCCAGTGGCTAGATGCCAGGTACATCCTATGGTGCACAAGACAGCCCACAGCTAAGAGGTTTATAGCCCCAGTGGCAGTAATGCTGAGGTTAGAGAACCTGGGAGGGGCCTCAGGGTCTCCACCTGCCCACAGCGCTCTGTGCCCATCCCACCTCCTCCGGGCCGCCCTCTCACCTCCAGGGATATCTTCCTGAAATACAGATGTGACCCCGCTTACCACCTTCCCAGAGTCCCTGCTTTCCCCGGGATACATGTAGAAGCAGCCGAGGCTTGTAGTAAAGGCTCCTTCCCGCCAAGGTCTCGTGCTTCCCCAGGCCTCGCCAGGCTGAGATGTGGGGCAGCCCTCCAATACCTCAGGCTCCCACCGCACTGCGTGGGGCATGGGGCACTCCCTGCACCCACAGCCATGCTACTCGGACCACCCGGAAGCTTTTTAAAAGGCCGCTTGTGATGCAGCCGGTCTGCAGTGGGGCCTGAGACCCTGCGTTTGTGAAGGCTCCCTGGGGCCTGTGTTCCTCGTTTGCAATCACACTGTCAGCAGCGAGGACCTGGCACAGCGGTTCTCAAACCTTAGTGGGCATCGCGTGACTGGAGCCCAGGAAAACCCAAATGACTGCGCCCGCCCCAGGCTCTCTGACTCAGTAGGCAGGTGGGGTTCACGAATTGCATGTGTAGCAAGTTTGCAGGCTGCACTTGGAGTCGCGAAGCCCAGAACGTATGTCTGTGCCTCTGCACCCGCTTCCCGGGGTCCTGAGAGCCGTGTTACTGCCTGGACCACTGCAGTCCTGGCAGCGTGCTAAGAGCTGGGATGGCCCCCTGCGCTCCACTGGGCAGTGAGCTCCGTGAGGACAAGGACAGACTTCTGTCTGCACGTCTTACAGGGAGCTGGAGGCGCTGGTCAGGGCTGTGGTTCTAACCCTGGAACGCTGGGGAAACATGACCTTCCTAGAGACCTCGTGTATAGCCTGAGAGGTTGCCGGTTCTCCTTGGCCAGCCTCACCACCTCACCAGCTCTGTTGAGATGGCCCCCAGCCACCTGCAGGGCCCTGGGGCTGGCAGGACCCTCTGTACCTCTCCCTTCAGTGATAGATGGCGATTCCCAGCTTTTCCCACCGTTTCCTCCTCTCGCCGGCGGATGGCAGCTTGGAAGCCACGCTCTTTCTAAAACTGCAAAGGCCTGGGCTTCCCTGCATCACAGAGCGTGGAGCCTGCTGGAGCCCACATGCCCTTTGCTCGCCTGGGGACTCCATGGGCACTGCCTTCCTCCTTCCTCCCAAGCTCGGGCATGTCTCTCCCACAGTCTTGATTTTGCCTCCTAAGAGGATAGAAGCATTTTATTTGAAAATGTTCTGCATTTTTTAACCCTTTTCCAAGCACTGGAATACATGGAGGGAGAGGAGTTCTGTTTGTCTGAGTAGATCGGCCCCCGGTGGGCCAGACCCGGGGGAAGGATCAGGGAAGGTGGACAGGTGGAGGAGGACAGGTGGAGGGGGACAGGTGGAGGAGGACAGGTGGAGGGGGACAGGTGGAGGGGGACAGGTGGAGGAGGACAAGTGGAGGAGGACAGGTGGAGGTGGACAGGTGGAGGGGGACAGGTGGAGGGGGACAGGTGGAGGGGGACAGGTGGAGGTGGACAGGTGGAGGGGGACAGGTGGAGGGGGACAGGTGGAGGGGGACAGGTGGAGGTGGACAGGTGGAGGGGGACAGGTGGAGGGGGACAGGTGGAGGGGGACAGGTGGAGGTGGACAGGTGGAGGGGGACAGGTGGAGGGGGACAGGTGGAGGGGGACAGGTGGAGGGGGACAGGTGGAGGGGGACAGGTGGAGGGGGACAGGTGGAGGTGGACAGATGGAGGGGGACAAATGAAGGTGGACAGGTGGAGGTGGGAACTCTCTCGGGCTGTACAGAAAGGAGCAGCCTTGAGGTTGAGGAAGGAGCCTGAACACAGGCTCCAACGTGGAATGAATGTGGAGCGTGGGGACAGGAACAAGTGGTAAGTTTAGTTCAGTCAGATGCCCTGGGCTCTGGAGAAGGGAGGATTCAGGAATCCCGACCATGGAGCCAATGGAGAAGGCCTCTAGGAGTTGGGGAACCATCCCTGAACTAAACAGCGTTTTTCCTTATTATTTTTCTCTCCAGAAACACCTGAGAGGTGGTGCTGATATCTGCGCCCTCCCATTCCTGGCGAAGATCTGTCAGAAGTTTAAGCGGTGTGTACGCTGCGCTGCCCTCCGCCACTGCATGGGGGCGGGGGGGGGGCATCTGTCCCTCTTTCCCGTGAGCTGAAAGGGCCTCAGATGTCAACGCATCTTCCTGAAAGGGAACGTTTTTCTTTCTCATCACTCGTCCAGAACCTAGAAGACAGAGCCTGAGCTTTGAGCAGCGCAGGCTCAAAGGCTGGGGCACAGGCTGCTGGTGAAGTCATGTCTCCCAGCCGCCAAGGACCCTACCCCCAGTGGGTATTGGACCCCGCATGATCTTTGGGGACATCCACGTTCTTGGCTCTTGGGCAATGCTGTCTCCTGAGCTGGCTTTGAAAATAAGCATTTAATGTGTCTGGGCCTCAGTTTCCCTAAACCTTAATGTAAGGCATATGCTAAGTTATGGCTGCTCCTCAGGGTTGATTGGGGATGATTAAATGCAGGCTCCTTGGCCTGAGACCTGGCAGGAGAGCAGTGTGTTTCCCAGGCTCTGGGGGCCTCTGTCCTCCCCAAAGCTCACCTTCTATGCAGGTGCCGGATGGTAGATGCTACATGATCAGGTGATGCTTCCAGGACCCCAAATACTGCCCTTTACCTGTGAAGTGCACATGGGGCCACACCATCCCATCAGCCCCTGCTGCTCTCATCCTGGCTCCTGCCAGTCCTGTTCTCGAGCCCATTTTAGGCTGGCCTAGTTCTCATTGCGAGGGCCTTCAGGTGAGAGCGCGGAGGTGAGAGGCAGCTGCAGGACTGTATTATAGAGTCGCTCTAACATCCACACACTGGGTGGCTTAGAACAACAGAAATGTATTCACCCCGTACTAGAGGCTGCAGGTCTGAAAGCAGGGTGTTTGCAGGGTCCCTCCGAGACTCTGCTCGCTCTGAGCTGCCCCTGAGACTCCAGGTCGGATCCTTGCTTGCCTCTCAGCTTCTGGACCTGGCCAGTGATCCTCGGTGTCCTGGATCCCTTCAGTCTCTGCCCCCATCTTCATAGGCCCTCTTCCCTGTGTGTCTATGCATAAACCCACACATGCATCACCTCACGTAAATGCAAACAGACTGTTGTATCTAATGCCTCAAGGTTCTCAGCATAAGTTGTTCAAGAGGAAAGTTTTAAGAAAAGACTTCCATCACTGAATGCCGTGTAAAATGGCACAAATTCAACTTATTGCACAGACTGGACCGAAAACACAATCTCCTTTCCAGGGGACTCAGCATCCATGCCCACACCCTCTGAGGCTTCAGTTCAGTGACTGCACTTCCCACAGGGGGCAAGTGAAGCATCAGAGAGGAAACAGCTCTGCTGGTGCAGAGAGACTGGCTGAGTTGGCCTGGTGCTCTTACTATTACCTTACCTAATAATAGACAAACATGTAAATTGGCCGTCCCTCTGCTACACTCACCAGCCAATCAGGAGAGTATGCAAATTAACCCAACAAAGATGGCAGTTAATTTGCAGGATGTAGGCGCGAAGTGATGGAGCAAAGACTGAAGGCTCCGGCCGGAGCAGCAGCCTGGGTCCCCGGTGCCGGAGGAAAACCGGTGCCGGCAGCCAGGGGAAGGGAAGACCTATTGCACGAATCTGTTTGTGCAAGGGGCCTCTAGTATTATTAGAACGGGCTTCTGTTACCTAGCAAGGGGCTACTGTCACCTAGCTGAGCCACATCTGAAAACGTCTCTCTGCTTTCACAGTTTCTTCTCTCTTCATTCACCGGTGTTGTGTTTTCTTTCTTCCAGAACTATCAGGAATTCGGTGCCATTCAGAGATGTCGACTCAGACAATTACAGCATTTCCCCAGTAAGTATGGTGCAGGGTAACCAGAGGGAGGATCCCTGGCTTCCGCATCACTTCCTACAAACGTCTTTAATAAGACAAGATGGGCTTCCCCTTGAGCGTATTATTCATTTGATAACACACCATTTCACAGTTTTTATGGACTTTCTGGCATCTGAAAAACGCATGAATCATCGAAGGGGGTCATAGGCCTGGGTTTGTTTCCTGGAGCCATTCCCAGCTGGAAGTCTCCGCGGGGATGGAAATGATCTTGAAGGTTGTTGAGAATTATATTGGAAGTTCTTAAGCCTACTTCAACTTACTTTTCTAAGTGTGTGCAAGTGTGCGCATGAGACTGTGCAAGTGTGCATGTCTGATTTAGAGCAGTGAGGGTGGCAGGTGCTCTATGAGAAAGAAACAAATGGTAACATGCCACAAAGTCCCCCACCTTAGTGAGACTCAGCTCTCCCACCTGGGAATGGGAAAATAAATCAGTGTTCTATGTTATCATAACTCTTCAAGTCAGGCAGGTCCAACACATAATAAATCCATGTAATCAACTAGATTAGCTAGAGACTTTTTAATTATCCAGGGAAATGATTGATCATTTGACCAAATAAACCAGATGATTGGAGCCTGACAAGACTGCTGATTAATAGAAAAAGTTCAGGGAGTTGGATAGTTCTGCAGTTGGTAAAAGTGCACATAGACACACACAGAAACACACGCGTACATATGTGTGCATGCACACACATGTGTACATGTAACTGCATATGCCACGTGCGTATACATTCACACACATGCACCCCCATACAACCTCATACAGGCACACACCCAATAGCATGTATACACACACACACACACACACACACACACACACACACATTCACATCCACTCACCCCACCTGTTATCGGCCCGGGGACCAGGTTACATTGCACCTCACACAGCGTATGCTATCATCTTAATCTTCATGATCGATAGTGTTCCTAGCCTATTGGAGCTAAAAACTGCAGATGGCATTCCCCCCACACCAACCCCCAGCCCAAGCCCGGCACTTCCGACTGCCCCTCCTCATTTCACATCAACACAGAACTGACCCTTCCCACGTTGCCCTCGGATTGCAGACGCTGCGCGGCTACCACTGGCGAGGGAGAGACTGCAATGACAGCGACGAGATGGCCTACCCCGGCAGAAGGTAACTCTCCGCTGGTCTCTGATTCTGAAAATTACCTTCCAAAAGGGAGGCAGGAAGCGTCGGTCACTTCCCCAGCCCCAGGGGTTCCTGCCCTCAGAGGGAAGGGCCCCCCATCTCCTGATGGAAGAGAAGCTCAGGGAAACCAGAGCATCATCTGTGCGAGAAAGGCTCAGGGAGCACCTGCTCAGGGCCAAGCACTCTGCGCCCACTGGGTGGGAAACAAGATAGAAATGTTCTTTTTCCCGTCGGGGCTCACGGCCCAGTAGGAGAAACGGCCACATGAGCCGCGCCTGTGGACACCACCCAGCCTCCTGCTCGCGTCCTACACGCAGGGCTGGGCCCAGACAGCCCCTCTCCCACCAGGACTGAGGTGGGGGGGGGGGTCCAGGGCGTGACCAGCATGTCCCATGTTAATCCTGGGCTGGTGTTCAGCCCATCACATCTCTCACTTCCAGAAACGGATGTGTCGCCTTAGCTGTGACTGCGGTGCCAAAGCATCCAGTTAGCCAGGTGTCAGGGATTGGGGAGGCATGACTTGAACGGCCTCTGTCTAAGTCCAGTGGCCTGCAGGCTGGTGTAGGACGCCCATCAGCCCTGTTCCACAGCCACGCAGCCCAGGAACCGGGTCAACCACAAAAAGCCTGGACTTGGTCCACCGCTCCCAGCAAACATCCCAAACCAAGATAATGGCCGCGCAGAGGCTTCTGTTCGTCACAGCACAGGGCGGAGGCTGTCTCCCGCGAGCGCCTGCTGTCTGTCCCTGACACCGTGGGTGGCACTCACGTGTGCATCACTCATGACGCTCAGTCACTGAGTGACAGGTGAATGCCCAGACCGATGCTGACGTTCTCCTCGCAGGCCAGACCGCTGGGATGAACATCGGGATTCCAACTGCAACGGCATCTGGGTGAGCAACTAGGGGCGACCTCCACCTGCCTCCCGACCCCCCTCCCTTCCTTGTGTTCGTCACGCCTGAGGAAGAGACGTGCCGGAGCCAGGCGTTCTGCTGCGTGAAGAGGGGTGTAGGGCTCTGGTCACACACGAGGGGGCCCACACTGTAACGGGAGGTGGGGTTCTCTCATCACAACCCCTTTTTTAAAAAATATATTTTTTAATTGATTTCAGAGAGGAAGGGAGAGGGAGAGAGAGAGAGAGAAACATCAATGATGAGAATCATTGATCGGCTGCCTCCTGCATGCCCCCTACTGGGGATCGAGCCCACAACCTGGGCATATGCCCTTGACCAGGAATTGAACCGTGACCTCCTGGTTCATAGGTCGATGCTCAACCACTGAGCCTAGCTGGCTGGTCATCATCACAGTCCCTATAAGTCTCGCTGAAGGTCACCCACACCTGACCTCTGAGTTCTCCCCTGAACAGTGTGAAATTAGCTGGAGAGTGGTGTTAGCAAAGTTTTGCAGCAACACGAACATCTCCTAGGGCAAGCCAGGCTATCCCCTTGTCATGGCAGCCATTTTCTTCTGTTTCCTAAGGCTAGTCAGGAGGCAGGGTCACCCCACCTGCCAGGCACCTGTCTTGTCACGAGGAGGAGGAAACATCCCCCATAGATCTTAAGGTGTCAAGACCCCCAAGACCACTCTTGTTCTGATAAACTCAAGCTACATTGTCAAGTGGGTGGACAGAGGGGTGATCAGTGTGTGAGACCTTCCTTGTTCCACGGCCCCTTCCCTGCCTCTGGGGTGTGCCACCCGTGAGGAAGGCCAGTAAGACACGGTGCTCTGCCCTGTCCGGGTCGCTGGTGGGGCCTTGGTGCTCCCTCAGAGGGACACCCTGCACTCCAGCACCCTGCCGGCAGCCTCTGGGACAAGGTAGTCCAGGGTCTGGACCTCTCCCCATCCCCCACCCCCAGTTCCTTAAAGCCCATCTCCCTCACATGGAACGTGGCTGTGTCCGATTAAGGACTCGAGAGACTTAAAGGGTTTTATCTACTGATTTGCCTTTTAAACATTTTTTTTAATTTAAATTCTTTATTGTCTTTTCTACTTTTAAAGCCATTTGGGGAGGATTTGGTGTATGTGTCTCATAAATTTAAAGACAAACTACTTAATCTTGTCGTTTCTCTTTTAAAGGGTGTTGATCCAAAAGACGGACTCCCCTATGAGAAGAAGTTCTGTGAAGGTATGAATGTAAACGTCTGTTTGTTTATCCCAACAGAATGTTCTTTTTCCCGTCGGAGGCAAATGGAAGGGAACAGACCACCCAAGTGGGAAGTGCCTTACACTTGGCCAGTTTACATTTATTTTCATGACGAATCCAAACGGGACATGAGAAGGATTCTAGTAAAAGGAGGCAGAATGTAGAGAAAGCAAAACTGAATTTGTGTAATCCACTCCTTTCCCTGAGGATTGGAAACCTGAATGATAACGTTAGAAAAAGCCGCAGCGTGGAGAACAGGGTAACTGAACCCAGCACTTCCCCAGATGAGAAACTCAGTGCAGGTGACCCTTTCTCGTCTTCTCCGTGTCCTCAACACACAGGCTCAGGGACCTGGGCTTGTACTGACGGGGTCCCTGCCAACCGGGGTGAAGGCTCACACCTGGTGACTCAGGGAACCCTCCAGGCTGCAGCCATTGGATTCCCCAAAGCAGCTGAACTCTGTATTCTAAATCCTAAATGCCCCGGACATCTGGGCTACCTTACCATTAGGAGGAACTATCACCACCCACAACTTACTGAAAATACTCCAGTGATGCCCCACGAGACCCTGTGGTAGCATCACTGTTTTATGCCTAGGCAATGGCTTTCCCCAACATTTAGAAGCATTTCATTCATTCATTCATTCATTCATTCATTCATTCAACAGATATTCCTTGAATGTCTACTCTTTTAAGTGCCAAGAGCTATACTGAGTTTTCATGAGCAGACATAATACAGTCCTTGCCCTCAGTCAACTTAATTATAATTAATTATAGTTCCGTTCTCAGAGGGGCAGGAAGGGGGCAGAACAGGCAAAGACCCGATGCCTCGTTACACAGTTTTAAAATGCTGTGGGGTGAATAAAAGAATGAATGAAAAAATTCACTCATGAATAAATAGACAGATCTAGTGAAATCCTGGCATAGGGCTTTAGGTCACTGTGGGAAGCCTCTTTAATTCCCAAAATCCCAACCCCTCCCAGGTGTCCTGGGCCTTCCCCATCACCATTTGTGTGGCCAAGTACTAGCTGTCGCAGTCCCAAGACAGGAAGCCACTGGAGTGAAGCTGATTTAGGGGTGAGGGTGGGAGTGGGGGAAGGCGGCTGTCCTCTCTGGCTGGGAGGCATCAATCACTTCTCCCAGGATCTGAAGGGGTTTGGGGGTGTATGTGCATCGCCCATGGGTGGCTGATTTGTGTAGATGGGCCCAGGATCAGATTCAGTGATTCTTTACCCCACACCCTCGGGCTGCCCAGAGACCTTCGTGTGGCTGTCGCTCCATCAATCTGCCAGAATCGCCCACCCAGTGCTTTTGCCTATGTGGATTAAGAGCTTTCAGGGTCCATCACATCTTTGATAAATCAAAATTGCTCCATGAGATCAGTAATTCTTAAAGTGAATTATGTCAGAAATCGGTGCGTTTTCCACAAAGCAATTTCCAGAACCAAAATTGAAGGCATATTGCTGAGTCCAGATAAAGTTTTGATCCATTTATTCATCCGCCCTCGCTCAGGGTGTCTCACGGCAGTTTGCTTCATGCTGAGCTGGGAAACACATCTTCCTCCGGACCGCTCAGCTCGCGGTTTCGATGGCCTGGAATCTCATCGAGCTCCTAAAGGCTATGTCCCTCACCCTGCAACACACAAACAGCGGCCATGCATCACTGCTGCGGTGCTCTGTGTGTGGGATACGCGCCAGGGCACCTGATGCCCTGACCACGCCGTCTGGAGGCTTGCAGCCGCGAGAGCATAAATAACACAAATGCATTGTGCCGCCTAGGGTCAGAGCCCAGGGGAATCGTGCTGCTGGGAGACTCAGCCGGGGCTCATTTCCACATCCCTCCGGAATGGATCACGGCTTCGCAGATGTCCTTGGTAAGTAATGTTGGCAGCAATCTCCCGGCTGTGCTGGCCTTGTGCCTGTTTCCCCGCTCTCTCTAAATGTGATGCCAACTCCAAACAGGTGCACGTTTTCCTGCTCAGCAAAATCTGCCATAAAAGGCGCACCCGCTCCAGTTCAGTTCATTTCCAACGATGCGAGAAGCCATGCGAGGGCGTTGTCACAATTGACTCAAAACAAGAGCCAGCACATCTTATTGGAAAACAAATTAAAGTGGCAGTGTAGTATCACTTGTAGTATCCCTTATCATCCATCAAGTAGACAAAAGTTAAGTGATGAAGGCCCAGTATTAGCAAGCTTATGGTACCATGGGGGTGTTGGAACTTCTCTGTAAGGCAAGCATGTCAAACTCACAGCCTGGGGGCCGCATGCCTCGTTTATTTGGCCTGTGTTCGCCTTTGGTTTGACATGCTTGCTGTAAGGCAACTGGACAATATGTACAAAGTGACAGTAAAATGTTTGTGGGTTTAACACATCTGGAAATTTACCTTTAAACCTGACTAGTCACTTGCTCAAGAATCTATGTCCATGAATATTCATCCAAGAGATATTTATAATAGTAAAAATGAGAAAAGAAATTCAAAATAGGGGATTAGATGCCCTGGTCAATTTGTCTCAGTGGTTAGAGCATTAGCCAGTGGATGGAAGGGTCATGGGTTCGATTCCTGGTCAAGGCACATACTTCAGTTTTAGGTTCTATCCTCATTGTTTCTCTTTCTCTCTCCCTCCCTTTTACTCTCTCTAAAAAAAAAATCAATGGAAAAAATATCCTTGGGTGAGGATTAAAAAAATAAAAATAGGGGATTGGATATGTAAAATTATATTTCATCCATAAAATGAAATATGCAATCATTAGTACCACTGTTATAGACACATTTATTGGCAAGAAACTGTGTTTATGACCATTTGTTAGGGGCAAAAGCATGTTACAAAGTGGTATGTATGATGTTTTGTGAATATATAATATGTGTGTGTATGTACGAAGAAAAGCATTGGAAGGCTGTAGATCAGTGGGTAACCCTGGTACCTCTGGATGGGAGAATTCTGGGTAACTATTCTTCCAGTTTGTTTTCAAGGAACTTACTAGTATATCCTATATGTGCCAAGTATTATAATACAAGATTAGGTGATTACTTGGTTTTGTTTTCAGCAAATAGCTAAGGAAACCAAGGCACTGCTTTATTGAATCTCTGCAGAAGGCCTGTCATGTAGATGTTATTACAGCACGGCCTGGCTTTATAGACACCCAGGGAGCAGGTGGCAGAACCATTTCCTGTCCGTGTCACCTTAAACAAGCCTCCTAACTGGAAACGCTGGGGATGAGGATAGGAACAATCTCAAGCAAGGCCATTTGCTTCAGTGAGCTAACGGCTGTGAAAGTGCTGTAGAGCCATGGGTTGGATTCAAACCAGACACAAGTAAATTCACACACAACTCACGCAGGGCCATCAACCCATCAGCCAAAGCAAGTCACAGGGCCACGGCCCAGATCCACGGGGAAGGAAGTCTGTCTGCCCCAAGTGAGAGAAGGGAGAGAGCGCTTATTTGCTACATTGCTTTTATCTCCTTGTAAATGTTAAATATTCAATAGAGAAAAATAAGCAAATACAGAAATTATTAACAAATCGTTAAAATTCCACTTAATACTACCACCCAGAGAGAATTGTTTTAACATTTTGGGGTATAAGATTGGTTTTGAAATATTCTTTTAATATTTTTCTTAGAAAAAAATGAATACATAAAGTCAACACTAGAACTTATTTTGAGAAGTAAAAAAAAGAAAAAAATTCCCCCATCATCTCAAACTTTTCTCAGTATTTTTCCATCCTTTCCTGGCATTCCACCCCCATTGTGACTCCACCCACAAGGCAGTCACATGAATAGCAAGTATGCAACTGGTGACCCGCCCTTTTTACAATTAGTACTAATCATAATCATTTTCCACATTGTCTAGTCTTTCTCTTTAATATATTTTATTGATTTCAGAGAAGGGAGAGGGAGAAAGAGATTGAAAGAGATTCTCATCATTGATCAGCTGCCTCCTACATGCCCCCTACTGGGAACCAAGCCTGCAACTGGAATCGAACCATGACCTCCCGATTCATGGGTCGATGCTCAACCACTGAGCCACGACAGCTGGGCACAACTTAGTCTTTAGGTTATTATCTTCTTCCCTGTTCCATGGAATCTCCTTCAGTGTACAAGCCATAAACTACTAAATCATTCCCCCGAGACTTAATATGAAGCTGATTTATGGCTTCTTTATTTTGGCTACTATGGCTCATGCTCCCCTTTTTTTTAAAGCTTCCAATTTTTTAAAATGTGTTACCTATGGAACCTCTTCATGTGCACAGGGGGTGAGCCTAGGGAGGGGGCCATGCCTCGCAGACAGCCATGAAGTACGTTGAGCTCAGAGCACACCTCATGTTTTGATTGTTTGGCTTTTAAAGCTTGTTGCAAGGACAAACAACCTATCGCCAAATACTAGCCCGGGGCCTACTGTGCACCAAGGCCTACTGTGTGCCAAACCCTGTGACAGGGGCTGATGACACAGTGGAGACGGAGTGGAAAGAACCCAGTCCTCGGAGAGCCTCAGGCGTGTGCGACACACAAAGAACAAATAGGCAACTCCTTCGTGAGACCACGCGACACGCGCTTGCCTCTGTCTCCCTATAAAGCAGAAGACACCCCTGCAAACGCATCACAACTGCACCCCCGCAAAGAAGCCACAGCCGGGGATCTTCCCTAGAGCAGCCCCTTCTCTCCGGCTCATGCCATCCATCGGGTAAGCAATGTGGCACCCAGGAGGCCTGTTTACCGCTAATTAGATTAGGAGTGAGCTCATTTGGAAAGATACTTGTAGTTCAATAAAGAGAGTGTGAAGAATCGCCCTGTGGCTCCACAGAAGCAGGGCCCTGGGCCTCACCCTGCTGGGGGCCTGGGTGGTCCTGCCTTCCCCTTAAACAGCTTCCTTCCCTCCCAGATGCCCCCAGGAGTCAGATGCGCACTGAGCTTCCTTGTCACACCGAAGGCCTCAACTTTGAAAGATTTCAAAGGAGCACAAGGAACAGATCTGAAAACACTTGCAGGCTCTTTCTTTTCTCCTTTCATTGGGAAAGCAGTCCCTGCTGGAGTTGTTTTGTTGCCAAAGAAAGGAAGGTGGCGAGATCACCAAGGCCTACAATAGCTGCCGCCCTCCTGCCTCGACCCCATCTGCTCGAAGATCATTTCCAAAACATAAAAACGCCCGCCCTGTTTCCCAAACCGGATGGGATGGTGGGTGGGGGCGGGTGAGCAGAGGGGGAGGCGACTCTGAAACACAATTTCCCGAATGTTTCTCTCGCCAGAGGAGACTGATGCCTGCGCTTTATAAAATCCTAGCACGACCCTGGCCGGCTGCTGTCTGTGGGGGAAGCGGCACGGATTGAGTTTCGTGCTGCGCCAAGGGCGAAAGGAACCCTCCATCGGCTGCAGAAAATGCATATCCACCGAGAGCAAGGCGGCTCCTAGCTGTCAAGCCCTCTGCGCGTCATTCCTCCCGAGCTTGTGGGTCCTGTTTGGAGACTCTACTGACTGCAGACAGCGCAGCCATCAGCCTCAAACCCCGGGCGACTGCCCCCTCCCCGCACTGTGAGTGCCCCAGTGAGCATAACGCTTCCATTGGGCAGAAATCGCTGCCTGATTTCCACGGTGCATATACAATACGGAACTGCTACCTCACCGCCTTCCATGTCGACTCCAGAAGTATTGAAGGGGTAGAGTGCTGTCTTTGGTTGCTATGTTTTTTAAGATGAGGAAAGGCTGTTGGTTAGGACACATGGGCACAATGCCACGTCCTGCTCCTCGAACACCTCAAGGGCTGGCAGGTGAGAGAGGCTCAGTGGGCAGAAGGGAGGCCTCGATCCGAGGCCCACTCACTCTGTCAGGAAGGAGAGTGTGTTCGCCACGCTGGCGCCTTTCTCTGTTCCCGGCCCCTGCTCGGGAGCAGAAGCCGGATGGGCTGTCTGTTGCCTGGAGCCCCGATCAACTCAAGGCCTGTTGTTCCTGCCCGAGGTGAGCTTCTGGGCTCCCACCGGCCAGCAGCGTGGGGCTCTCGCAGGCTCATCCCTCCGAAACATCCGTGCTCTCAGCTCCCACCGCCACGTGCGAGAATTAAAAGGACAGACACTCGGTGTGAGGAAAGACTGCAAGAGGAAAGTACTTGGAGCTCCATGCTCTGAGAGGCATTTATACGCGCCCAGCCCCCACGCCTGCCCTCCAGCACGTTAGCTGGCGGTGCCCACACAGGGAGGCAGCATGAGTCACCAAACACCTGCACCGCCCGCTCGCTGCTGAGATGGGAGCGCGGTCTCCTGCCCCCGATTTATTAGATCCGCCGCTTGGCGTCCCTCTCCCTCAAGCTCCTCAGCCATAAAATGGGCCTCGTGGAACTAACTGATCGCAGGAGAAACACTTAGAATCTCAAACCCACTGAAATGTGGACAGGGGACATTTTGGCACTTGAAGATAATTTGGGATGGCTGGAACATCAGTTGCTACACACCATTCAGTCATTGGTTCATTCAACTGCCCGCTTCCCTCCAGGCCACCTGGCGGGGGATGAAGGAGACTCAGAACACCCTTCTCAGCCCTTGCCAAGTGCTTAGGGGTCCAGACTGGCATCTGCACGATTTCCTACTCGAGGCGATGGCTGCGAGATTGGTCAGATGGGTGAGTTAACCCTCTTTCCTGGAGGAAAATCCAGGGAGCATTATGAAACACACAAGGCCCAAAGATTCCAGAGGCAGGAACTGAGGGTTTGTAGCAGCATTGAAAGTCTGACGGATACAGAGCCCAAAGGAGAGAAGGCTGGGAAAGAGCAAAGAGGACATGGTCCCATGTCAGAAACATTCCAGAGCCGGCAGAAGGCTGAGTGTGTCAGTCCTTAGAAGACTCGTTATGAAGCAAGCAGGGTATAGGCTCGGCTGCCGTAACA